CGGCGTCTGACGTACTAAACCCACTTTAGGTCAGCCTGCATCGGCCGAATCAGCCCTTCACCCTCTTATTCACCCTTCGCTGTTGATGTAGACGATGCAGCCTCATCCCTCCCCCACCCCTCCCCACCTCTTCAGCAGCGCCCGCTACACCCTCCTCACCTCCCTCCCTGCCTCCCCCCTCTCCTACACCCGACCTAGAGGCCCCCTCAGTCACCCCCCTCCTCGCTCCTCTCGCCCGGCGAGTCCCCCCCGTGCCAGCTCTTGATTGCCCCTCCCCTCCCCCCTGCCCTTCGATCCACTCCTAGCAATTGCGCAGCAACGCCTTTGTGCTTTGGCTCATCCGCCTCCTCATCCCTCGCTCTCTCCCCTCCTGCATCCTCCTCCTCCACCTCCTCCTCCAAACTCTGAAAATCCCTATCCTCCTCCTCCTCCTCCTCCTCCTCCTCCTTCTCTTTTGCTCCGTCCCCTTCAACCCGATAAGACTCCTCACTGCCCTCCCCACTGCTAGAACTCGTGCTGTCATCCTCCCCGCACTGCGCCCCCCTCCTCTTCCCTCCCCTCCCCTCCCGGGACCCATGCGGTCCCTCAGATCCCCCACCACGCCCAAGGGGAGTTGGAAATCCAACTCGTGGTTCCCCAAATGCAGCGACGGTGATCCCCCCACAACCACCCCTCCCCCTCGACCGCTGCAACCCAAGGTTTCCGTCTCGCGGCCACATGCCGCCTGCGCCAACGCCTTCTTAACCATGGCCCGTCCCAGAAGCGTACCGTCTACACAGTTTGTGGGTGCGAACGACATTTGACCCCCACGGCTTCAAGCCACGCTGAAGCCAATCCGGGTGGAGCCAGGCTTCAACTCGGCTTCAGCGATCCGAGCCGGGCAGGCTCTGCCTTAAAAAAAAAAAAAAAAAAAAAAAAAAAGGCTCGGCTCGGCCTGAAGCCGAGACGAGCCGGCTCGGAGTTAAGCCCATATTTAAATGTAAGGTGTCTCTTCCTGTCTCCACGACGCCCTCGTCCCTCCCCCATCAGCTGTGTGATAAGACATACCACACTTATCATACCACAATATTTTTATCTCTGAGACCGGTGGTCACTCAAGTGCCTCTGACCTTCATTCCCACCTGCCTCCTCCTCCCTTGTTCTTTGTCTCCCATCTTTTACCCTGATCGTGCCCCACCCCCCGTCCACCTCTCTTCTGCTGTCCGCTCACCTTATTACCCTTCAAGACTTGCTGGTCCCTCAAGTGCTCTTTCCCTCATTGTATGTCCTTTTCCATTCTCCACCTTCCCATTCCCTCCCCATCCCCCTCCCATCCTCCCCTCCTCCCCCACCCCCACTTTCCAGGAGTGTTACAAGCCCAACCACATCATCTTCTTCTCCAAGATCTCATGGCCCCACACATGCCTCAAGCCCAGCCCAGGCATCTTTTCGGTTTCCAAGCCTTTGCCTTTTCTATGGCTCTCAAACGCCTAACCAAGGCCCAACTCTGGTTCAGATCCGTCATTGCTTCTGCTGCTGCTTCTTCTGCTGCCTCCTCTTCCCCTCCCCCTAATTCTCCAGCCTCCGCTGCTGCCATCAGTGCCACTGCTAGTGGTCACCCCCCATCCCATGGGGGAGGCAGGTCTGGTGGAGGTCGAGCTGAGTGAGGGGACCAGGCACCGGGTGATGTCTGCGTGGCTGCAGAGGGACTTGGCCATGCACGGTGGTGTAGTGAGCGGGGGGAACGCAGCAAGGAGAGTGGTAGAAGCAGCAGATTCAGATGCGGCTGGATTTGCACAAGGAACAGCACCACGTGCGTCAAGTGCTATAACCAGGACGTTACGATGGCTGGGCTTTGGCAGCTGGGGGTGGTTTACAGCTTGGGGATACATCGGTCTATTGCAAGGGCAGCAGGGATGGTGTGCGAGGGATGGTTAATGAGGGCATGCATGGGCAAGGGCAAGGGCATGGGGAATAGCATGCCACATTGCTCCGCAGGCTTGCTGTTAATGGCATGCCACCAAATGGCAGCATGGCGAAGGGCATGGCGTTAATTGGCATGATGATAGGTGGCACGAGAAGCAATGTCTGGCATGAGATGGAGGAGGAAGAGATAGGGCGTGGGCATGGCAGAGTGGCTTCCCAGTAGGGTGCCACTATGCAGAGGAATAGCTCTGGCAGTGAATCAATACTCTACATACTTTGGTTGCCTGCCGATGGTTTTGGTGCATGCGATGGTGATGCGGGTGCTAATGCTGGTTGTGATGGTGATGGTGATCGTCATGGTGATGATGCTGGTTGTGATGGTGATGGTTATGGTGATGGTGATGGGGGATTGATACTGGTCAAATGGAGCCGGCAGCAAGAGCGGTGGCAGCAGCACAAGCAGCAGGATGACCAACAGCATCATCACCTCGCATGGATTTTCGCAACCATGTGGCCTCTGCCAGTGACTCGACAGGGGAGCAAGCCAGAGGTGATTCAGCAAATAAGATCAATGGCACCAGCAGCACACCAAGCACACCGACCAAACAGACCGAGCAGCAATCCAAGCAAGAATGTGAGCAACTGGAGCATGTGCACCGCAATAGCAGTAGCTGAACACCTGTCATCTTAACCTTCTTCCTGGTGCCCACGGTAGTACCATTTCCCCTCACACCAGGGAAAGGCCAGTGGTGCTTACTATCGGGCTTCGGACAGGCAGTGGAGGAGGTTCAAGTCCGTTGCAAGGCCTTAGACAGATTTCGAACTGTGAGGTTTGTTGCAGTTTATTGCCATTTCTTTCCCAAGTTGTTGTGAAACAAGGAGTGAGGTTCTAAAAAAACCCCTTCTTTTCAAACATGATGTAAAATGCACGGAAATACTAGCCAGATCCTCTTCAAGCCCATTCTTGTGTGCTGAACTTGCAGAGGAAAAGGTGAGGGGCTAGCTCCATTCCCGCCATCTCCCCTCCTAGTCCCACCCAAGTGCCTCACCGCCGCCAGCCAGTAACGTTCATAGCTTTCATTTGGTTCCGGTTAATGCGTGCAAATTATTTGTCGAAAGAATAAAGACATAAGCCATTCATTCTTCCTACCGCAGAAGAAGGCTTTAGTTTAAGTAGGTTTAACGACAATCCTATCAAAAGGGTGAGATCACTCAGAGGTTCTATGCCTCAAGCACTAAAGGCGATAATACACCTTGGGTTGGGCAAGTCCATGATTGCATGAGTAGTGAGCACATCCTTAGTACAGCCACTAGAAACGAGTGCGGAGAGAACTTGGCAACTACCGTGATGCAGTGATAGCCGGACACAAGGTGGGGAATTGAGATACAACCATTGATATAGGTCACACAAGGGCACTGAAGGGATGCATCGCAATTGTAGAACAGTTGCGTTGCGTGACGCTTGGTTCGCCCAGTTACATTCACGTTTTACAACTGTTCAGCTTCAAGGTTGCAACCGTTGGTTGCGACTTCGGGAAGACCAATCGGCGCAAACTTGCGTCATGCGAGGTTGCAGCTCCACCGACTCAGCAATTGGCCGATTGCTCGAATGCCAACATTCCGATGCTGAAGGGTCGCATCGCACCTAGAGCGACTACGACCTCTGGAATAACAAAAAAACGTGCTAAGGTTTGCCACTACACTACACTTCGAATAAATGCAACATATAACGAAAAATGCAGTAATTGTTATTCCAACACCTAAGAAGGCATGCTAGCATGGGTGTCAACCATTTGGGGTAGTAAATATCAAAAGGGGAAACACATATAATTAAATATATCCGTCACATGTACTGCATGAATCGTTGAATAGGTCATAGGGAATATCATAGAATGATACTTCAAGGTGGACGACAACACTTTTATGGCTGGTGGCTCCTATGTATAGAAGGGAATTGTATTTTCTTATTACGGGTTTTAGTCAGTAAGGCGTACACTATTATAACAGGGTTGCCACGAAGCTCTGCCACGAAATTCAAATCGCGGTCCCAAAATGTGGCCTCCTGCCGAGCAACCGGATGCATTGTTGCCCGCCTTGCTGTTGCATGCCTATATCTAGGCGCTTCGCGCCAATTTACGAACCACACGTCACAGCTCTGCCAAGCCCCGACTGTGTGCTCTAGGCTAGGTGTATCCGTCCTCCCTGCTGTTTTGATGTTGCCTCAGTTGTATTGTTTTCCTCGTTAATCAATCCTTTGGCACACGCTCTTTACGCTCCATTACAGTACATTTAAGCGAGAGGCTATAATAATGACCCCCACTTCGAGTGTATTGGTTGGAACCTTGCGAGAAGTTTTTTTTTTTCCCCCGACAGTTCTTACACGGCCTATCCTTGGCGAAAAGATTACAAACTGACATTTTGCCTGATTGTCGCTTTACACAAGCCACTTGCTACGCTGCGACGAAACTAGCTGCGGATCTAAAATTTGGAAGCCAAGGCACACCCTTCCTCGTCACATGTCACTTCCAAGCCCTGCAAAGTGAATTTCACCAAAGAATGAGTGCAAAATATAAAAGAAAGAGAGAGGGAGCAAGCAAATGCAAAAATCGAGGGCATGTGATCATACATGAGTGGGAAGAGATACGCGCGAGAGATGTGGAGAGAGGGAGATATGGCGGGAGCGACGGGCGAGCGAGTGTGGTGCGGCGGGAAGGGAGTGGCAGGGCGAGAGGTGAGTGACGGGCGAGCGAGTGTGGCGCGGCGGGAAGGGAGTGGCATGGCGAGACACTCGCTCCTCCTCTCTCTCTCTCTCTCTCTCTCTCTCTCTCTCTCTCTCTCTCTCTCTCTCTCTCTTCTCTCTTCTCTCTCTCTCTCTCTCTCTCTCTCTCTCTCTCTCTCTCTCTCTCTCTCTCTCTCTCTCTCTCTCTCTCTCTCCCGCTGCACCACTCTCTCCCTATTCTCACCTCCACCAATCTCTTTCTAACCGCGCCACTCTCCTCCACGACGCATCTCTCTCTCACTCTCTCGCCGCGCCTCTCCCGCTAACGACGCCTCTCTTTCTCTCTCTCTCTCTCTCTCTCTCTCTCTCTCTCTCTCTCTCTCTCTCTCTCTCTCTCTCTATCTCTCTCTCTCTCTCTCTCTCTCTCTCTCTCTCTCTCTCTCTCTCTCTCTCTCTCTCTCTCTCTCTCTCTCTCTCTCTCTCTCTCTCTCGCTCTCTCGCCGCGTCTCTCTCCCTGTCTCACTGCGTTTCTCCCTCTCTCCCCGCGTCTCTCTATCGCCGTGCCTTACCCTTTCTCGTCGCGCCTCTCCCCCGCTATTTGTGTTTCTCTCTCTCTCCCTCTCTCTCTCTCTCTCTCTCTCTCTCTCTCTCTCTCTCTCTCTCTCTCTCTCTCTCTCTTTCTCTCTCTCTCTCTCTCTCTCTCTCTCACTTCTCTCTCTCTCTCTCTCTTCTCTCTCTCTCTCTCTCTCTCTCTCTCTCTCTCTCTCTCTCTCTCTCTCTCTCTCTCTCTCTCTCTCTCTCTCTCTCTCTCTCTCTCTCTCTCTCTCTCTCTCTCTCTTTTCTCTCTCTCCCCGCAGCGCCACACTCTCCCTCACAGCTTCTCGACACTAAGTTTCTATGCGGTAGGGCAGCTAGCGGAACTAGCTTGCTTTCTCGGCGATTGTTTGCTAGCTGGATGTCGCTTTGCGTGGGGAAGGTAGTGAATTCTCGGCAATTGTGAACTCAGGTCCAACTTGAAAAAAGAGTTGGGCCCATCTCGATCTGAGAGCCCCAACCCATTGCTTGCACTCGCCGTGCAAGTGTCGCATCGACAAGTGCGACCCCTGACAAGGATTCGTTGTCAAATTTGCATGGAGTGGCATGTCGCGCATTTCGCTCTGCGATGAACATTTTGGTGGGACCCAATCAGCTTTGAGCTGAAATTCCGATGTGCCTACCTGTGCCATTTTGGAACATTTATTTGTTGAAGCTTGTTTCCAATTCGAGTTGCTCAGAGGGAGCCCTCGTTCAAGTTGGGCCAACTTTCACTATTTTATCTTCTCGTTTTAAGAATGATATACATCATGATTTTTCATTGTACCTTACCCGTTGATATTGTTGCCGCGTCTACGAGGAACTTTGTCTGGACTCTCCAAGTGTATTTGCCCTCTTTGCTCACCAGCAGGGCTCTCGGTTCAAGGGTAAACATCCGGAATGTCAGTACATTCTGGATGTTTTGGGCTGGAATCCGGATTTTGATAGGGCTCGTCTTCCAAACCTCCTGACTGTTTCCGAACGTTTATTCTTCTGAACCCGGAGCTTTCCGTATGGGTCCAGAAACTACCATGACAAAAAACGAATTGTGACAGGCGCCCTTCAGCTGCTACTGTAAGGGTGTATTCCGCAGCGAGTGTCAGACCCGAGGTCGACCCGCGGCCGAAGGAGCCGCGTGTGGTCACAACCTAACTGCGGGTTTAATTTTCTTGACGGTGCAATGGCTGCATAGCCGCGGACTGTCGCAATGAGAGGCTTGCGAGTATACTAACCGAACTTTGCGAGTCCACCATAAATTTTCGAAGTTATGATTGGTGAATTTACATTTGTACGACATTGTTAGTTGTTCGGCTTGACAGCTGACTGGCTGGAGCCGTCAGTTTTTCGCAAGACCCGAGGCAATTTTTTTCCAGCCTCGGATTTCCCGCTAAACCCTCGGGTCTAACACTCGCTGCGGAATCGGGTCTAACTCTCGCTAAGCCTCCCCAATGATACAGTTCTCCCACCCTCAAAGCAGGTTGTGCCTTGTCCGATTCGCTACTTGTGAACCTTCGTCATGTGCAGGCATCAGGTGTCCACATAGTTTTAGGTCTACAGCGGGTATGCCATTAGGTCCATGACATTGTACTCCATATAATACTCCAAGGTCCGGAATTTGATAAGATCCACCACGATGTACTCCGTCTGTACAGTATACATGTACTGTTGACTTCGCTAAAAAAGCGCAATAAAAATATTGACCAGTCACCGCAGTCGCATAGTGTCACCGACCAGCGAACCGCGCCTCCCAAATTGGGTGCGATTTCATCGTGCGAGCGTCGCCAACCAACCCGCAAGTGCGTTCTCGTGAAATCCCCGTGAATTGAGCTCGGAATTGCCCAGCCAATACGCGCGCGCCATGGCGATGCTACGTAATCGCGACGGACTTGGGGAGCTTACACAGAATCATAGACAGGCCGCTAGTACCCCGTCCAGCTCGCAATTTTGCATGCGCGCTGGCATGAGCATGCCTACGTACCCCCTCAGTTGAGGAGGCCGACAGAGGTCGTATTTACACTCCGCCACATCAGCGGCTAAACAACCACCAAACTACGTTACCTGGCTCAATCAACTGGTCACAATGAGGTTACTCAGGAGAACATCGCTGACGATTACGATGAAGATCGGAATCTGCCGACATGCTGAAGCACATTCACACCTTCGACTCGCCGACATCGCTCGGTGGTGTTTCACGAGATACGGTATTTATCCCGACCCCATCACCGTGGGGAAAATCCTCAAGGAGGCGGACAAGTGGAAGGCACTTGGGCCACAGAGCTCCGCCACTCGACGTCTGCGTTCCGCCTTCTATCCCCTGCTTGAGCAGCGGCTGAATTCATGGTTGGGCCGGGCGGCAAAGGGTGGGCTGCCAATCACCATCAGCGTCATCCAGCAACGAGCCAGATTATGGCTCCTGACGCCGGAGTGCCGGTTGGATTTAAAGCGAGCGTCGGATGGGTGCAGAAAGCATTGAAGCGGATGGGATACAAGTGGCGGACCAGGCAGGGTGAAGCTAACGACCAGGACTTTGGCGCAGTGATGACGACGAAGGCCACATGCCCGCAGTTGGTCACTCTGCTCGCCGTCGCGCCTCGCGACTGCTTCAACTACGATGAGACTGGATGCGCTTGGAAACAAATTCCGAAAATGACATTCGCACATGGCCCTGTGAGTGGCGCAAAAACCGGAAGGACCGCTTAACTGTCGCGCTGATGTGCAACGCCGACGGCTCGCAGATGTACAAGCCGCTTGTTGTGAGCAAAACCGCCAATCCGCGCTGATTCGCACAGAAGAAATTCAGTCCTGCGACGAAGTGCTTTTGGCGCAGCAACGGTTCCGGCTGGATGACAAGCCAGGTAAGCGTTATTTTTAACGTAATGCGTGTTATTTGCGACTGTGTCATTGTTGCTGTTGCTTGTGTTGCCCGCTTTTTTCCATACGTTGTAACTACGAATTCAAACATTTCACTACTTTCCCGCCGTAGTTATTCACAGAATACATCGAGCACATTAACGCGTGTTGTTTCGCCGAGGGCCGCAGCATCGTCATCCTGCTGGACAACGCTAGCTGCCACAACCTCCTGTCTCCGCTCGCCACATCGGCTGACATCCTCGGCTTCCGAACACGCGCGCTGAGCAACGTGTGTCTTGTGTTTCTCCCGCCAAACACTACCTGCTTCACGCAACCGCTGGACCAGGGGCTCATCGCGACACTGAAGGCTCGGTACAGGACGTACCATACACTCGACATGTTCCGCGAATGGGACGAATTTCAGAGCGAGGGAATGTTGCTGCAATACAAGCCCGACATGGTGCAGGTCATAACATGGCTGTCGGACGCGTGGTTCTCGATCGAGCCCGAGACCGTCCAGAAGTGTTGGTGGCGGACGGGTATCCTCCCTGCTAGCTGGCTCGCGAGACTCCCCCTGGTCGGCACCACCGTCGCTGAGCAGGACCATAATTTGCCTGCAGAGTTCACTGCCGTCGCTGCGAATTTGGAACGGCTGCCATGGGCCGACAAGGACCGCATGGATGCGGTCCGGTTCATCACATGCGACAGCGACGATGACATATGCGATCCTTGTGGCGAGGACCCGCTCGCTTTGGAACCTCTGGGAATTCCCGCAAGCGGCGCATGGTATCTCTGTGCACCGGATATTGCGCAGCCAGTTCGAGATTCGCGTAATCGCCGGCATCTTAGCCGCATGGCTACAGAGATGCTGGTCGGTTATGCGCGGTCCATCGGGCTCATCCCGAGGGACCTCCGCATTCTCTTCGACATTCGGGACCCGTCTGTGATTGAGCGTCTTGAACGCGCATCCCCGCGCCTGGACCTGAACTCTGCTCCTGGGGTTGTTTCGGAAGAGTACAGGCAGCATGTGCTCCAGGCGACGGCCGTCATGGACGGCTGGGTGGACTCGGCTGAGTGGATGCGCTGAGAGAGCACTGGATTCCTTTCCGACGTGTGTGTTTTTCAGTTGCGCTTGCTTTCGGGAGTGTGTTTACTTTTGCTGGGCGAGGCGTGTTTGATTACCCTTCTGTTACTTTAGTTGTGCGCTTGACAGTTTTGTTGTTGCTCGGTTGTGTTGCTGCGTCACTCCTTGTGTGAATGATGATGTGTCGTTTCTTGCTTTTGTGCGTGGGTTTGAGTGTTTCAGTGTTGTTGGACACTTTGTTGTGTGTGTTCGAATCTTTTTAATGCAACGGGGTTTGAAATCCGACGTGTCTCTACGCAACTCAAATTGTCGCAGCATCGGACAGGGCACCCTTCTATGAACAGAACATAACAGACAAGTCACTCCGACCCCCATGTTCACTCGTTAGTCCATTTTGCCCCTACCGTACGGGCCCTATTCGACTTAGTCGATATCTGCGAGTCGCAGATTTGGAGCATAGAGCATACCCTCTGTATATTTTTCGCGCCGAACCTCATGTCAGTGTTCTGGGGGATAGGCCTCAGGGGAATCCTGAAAAACAGTGAGATTTTCCAGGGAAGGCTGATTTTTCACGGTCTTCTGCGAGGCGAATCCTGTGCCTTCCGGGTCCCGTAAAACGAAAAAATAGCCTTGCTAACCAGTCACCACCACCTGTCCGTTAGGGCGTGGGACGTCGGAAACGTGATGCCAAAATCCGGACACATCACGAATTTTGGCAGTCCGAAACACTCTCGCAGAAGTCCGGACCACCAATCGGACCACCCAGTTGAACAGGCACAACCCACCCGAGGTTCCATCATTCAAATTTCAAACACCCTTTCGCGTCACCTTTTCGTGCATTGCCTGTCATGCACCCAGTGTGGTTCGAATGTGGTCCTGGCCCCGTCCAGACGACTGTAAGGAATTAGGAATTCCTTACTGAGGCTTGCTACTGGGCATACGAATCGAACAGTCTTGAACCATCGCCAGGGTTCCAGACCTATCAGTTCGAGCCTCCTGGGCCTTTCCGGACCTCGCTACGACACATCGAGACCCTTCGATACTTTTCCCGAACCTTCCGATCCTGCGACCAGGATCACCCTAGGCTTTCTATATATTGTATTGTCTTTCATTTTATTGTCGTTCACTCGTTCACAGCTTCGCCATTGCCCTCCGCGCTACTCGGCAGTCCCATTCATAACAACGACGATTTTCGTAACCCGTGTTCCATCGTCGGTATGACTTCTGGTGAAGAATTTTGGCGACGTGCGAAATTACCTGGCGACATTGGCAAAAACAGTAACCACGCAAAAGTCCGGACTTCACTGGGGATCACGAATTGTAGTCCCGCAACCTTAGGGCGTGGTACATACAATCACGCCCTCTCAATCATGTGACTCATTCACGAAAACACGAAGGGAAAATGCCTAGCACAGTTGGTACCTCTGTTCTCTGAACAGAGGTAGGTTCGGAGACCCAAGCTGGTACCAAACATCCGACATTTTACTAAACAAAAAATTAGCGACTCGCGACAAAACACGAATTTGACGAACTCGACAGCTGGTTACGACGATCTCTCAGCTGCAGACTCCCACTTTCTGCTCCATCCTCCACTTACGGCATTTTCGCGTATGCGACACGGGTGACAAAAAAATATTGTCGTGACTGTCGTTAAGGTTGGTGGGGAGGTGGTACTCCGCGTGACTGGAGTGCCGTTGGAGGGGCCGTTTGAAACGGCCCTGGTACCTCTGTTTCAGAACTGACCGAATCCATCGCCACTCCATTCGCGAGAAGAGTTGCGAAGGTTGGCGAGATGGGCTACCATGCTGTTTCCAAAACAGGCCTCAATCACGTGATTGTATGTTTGATGCCCTTAGGGCTAAGCTCACCTTGCCTAACTTGGTGTGCCGCCACCCGACGGTCCTAATGTGCCTCAGCCTTCGTCGTTCCCGCCAAGCACGAGGTCCCATGATCCCATTCCGACAAATTGACGTAATGACTAGCTTATGATTAGGTCCATAGATGTTTGACAGTCTGTCCTTTTCAGACACCGTTCCCCTACAAATCCCAGAGCTCGTCAGTTTAAAAGCCTAGACTCGCGAAGCACCAGCGCGATGCTGGTGCGCAGATCAGTGATGCGCCAAAAGAATACCGTGCCGCGTTACGTCATGTGCTCAGCTGTCCGCCACGTCACGTTTTCTATCACCATGACGCGATGCTATCACGTGTCGTCCACTGGATTTCTCCGACTCATTCGTCCCATCCCATCCCATCCATCCCATCCCATCCCATCCCATCCCATCCCATCCCATCCCATCTAACCCACCCCATCCCATCCCCCATCCCATCCCATCCCATCCCATCCCATCCCATCCCATCCCATCCCATCCCATCCCATCCCATCCCATCCCATCCCATCCCATCCCATCCCATCCATCCCATCCCATTCCATCCCATTCCATCCCATCCATCCCATCCCATCCCATCCCATCCCATCCCATCCCATCCCATCCATCCCATCCCCCATCCCATCTCTCTCTTGGCGTCCACTCCACTGGCACAACCAAGCGAGCGCCCTGGCAATTCAATCCAACTGCACTTTCTGCCGAAGGTTCACTGTCCGTGACTGTCACTTGTCTAGCAGTGCTGCTGCTGCAACGGCCGGCATTGAATGCGGTGGAGGACTGTGTCAGTGCATCGTGGGTTGGGGTGCTGTGTGCACTGTGTTACAATTTGTTAAAAGCCTGGGCGGTAGGTTTTGGCAGATATCTTCCGTCGCTTTTCTCCACTGGAAAACTCATTCGCAGGGACTTATCTGGGGACACAAATGCACATGTGTAGTTTGCAGCAGCATTTCGGCCCAAGCAGCAGCCATCTCTGAGATCATCATGGTCCAAGTAGGGAGTGAGCGGAACGAGACGGAGCAGCATAAGACTGCAACTTTTTGAAGCAGATGACAAGAGTGAGCACAGCTAAGTAAGAGTGAGAAGCAGCATATGACCTCGCAGAACTCGTGACGAGTGGGCAGAACGAGCGTGAGCAAGAGTGACGAGTATGAGAGTGAGGAGAACAAGCCAGGAGCGAGCAGGAGAAGAGTAAGGTGAACGAGAGCGAGTAAGGGCCAGTTAAGTGTCTGAAGAGCGTCAGCATCAGCAGCAGCAGTGATTCGCCAACGCCACTGGCGGCGAAGCCTGCTGGAGTGACAGCAGCAGCGGCGTGGAGGCAGCAGCAGCAGTGGTGGTGGAGGCGCAGGCGGCGGCAACAGCAGCAGCAGCAGCAAACACAGCAGCAGCAGCCACAGCAGCAGTGATATTCACAGGCGACCCAATCGACGGCTTGGAACACCTGCGTTGTTACCAGCAACAGCCGCAGCCTCTGCAGCAGCAACAGCACCAGCACTATCAGTGCCAAGCAGCAGCGATATCACCTTCACACATGGCCGAGCAGCATAAGCCCTCATTCACGGCGCACAACTATACTTCAGCTCATGTGACGCCTTCCGGAAGAGATTCAAGCGTAATGGGTGATGATGACACCCTCAGATCTCCCTCACCCCAGCTGCATCATCACCATCCCATGAGTCATTACTCTGAGGCGCCTATTACCGAGCGATGTCTTATGAGTCATGCTATTGACACGGCATCGAGAGCTAACAGGAGTGTGACTCTTGGCACGCTAACAAACCCCATGAGTCACCCAGTGGGTGATGCACCGCTCCAGCAAACGTACGCTCCGCTCCCTATGCAAAGTGATACGAGCACTATTAGTGGTCCTCCACATCAGCACCACCATGCTATGTTTGGAAGTCATGAGGACGCGTTCAGATGGAAGAAGGCGTCGCACAAGCGAATCCGGGGACCGCAGGTGAAAAGGTAGTGTGGCCTCTCTTGCTCCGCCCGCTTGCTCGATTGCCAGCATGCTCTCTTTCCCTCGCCGCTCCCTCTTCCAGTCGTAGCCTCTCATTCTCTCGCTCTCTTTCTCGTACTTTCTTCATCTCTCGTTTTTTCACACCCTCCCTCTCTCTCCCTCGCTGCTCTTTCTCGCATCCCTTCCGTCTCACACTTTCTCCCTCTGTAACATGACGGGATTCGCCATGCATGTGCTTCTAGACATGCATGGGAATTCCCGAAAGGGATAGCTAGGTATGCATGGGATTCTCAGATTGAGATGCCTAGAGATCCGAACTAGACACTTGCTACCCTAGAGTCTTCTCTCCTATCTCTGCTGGAAGGATATGTCCTGCAGAGCAAAGCATCGAGGCGCTATGCCAAGATGCTATGCTTGATGGACAAGCGACTATTCTCCCGAGTCGCTATGCCATTCCTTCCTAGTATAAATATCTGTCTCCCTATCTTGTATAACTATCATCTTCTTTCCTATCTTCTTGATCATCTATCTTCTCTCTTCGTGGACCTACATCCCAAAATTCCAGGATCAGAAATACGGAGTAGGTATACAGTAGGTATGGCATAGGTACGTCTGCTACGGAGTAGCCTTGCTATACGAACAACTATACCTACAATATAGGAGAGGTCCACATTTTTGTGATGTAGTCTCCAGCCTAGTCGAATAAGCTTCCTCTCCTCTCTTCCCCTGCGCACCTCTGCCCTACGGCACAGCCACGGCCGGACTGGCCAGCCGTCCCTAGCTTGGCAGCGCCGTACCGTTTCACCCTCTCGCAAACTTTTGCTTGTATACTTTCTCTATTTTCTCCTTTGCTTTTCTCGCTCTCTCAGTCTTTCAGTTGTTGCAAGGCTTGCACTCTTGCTCGCGTACTTTCTCCTTTCTCGCCTGCTCCCTTGCTCAATCGATTACTCGCTCGCTCGCTCCGCTGAGACCTCGTGTATCTGCAGCCTTCACATTCTCAGCCCCACACAGAGCATAGTTTTAAGACATTTCCTCGCTTTCTTGCTGCCTTGCTCAACCTGCTCGCTCGCCTGAGACCTCGTGTATCTGCAGCCTTCACGTTCTCAGCCCCTAGCAGTGCATTCTAGACGTCAACTCCCTCTCCTTTCTCAGTCCCACGTTCTCTGCCCCACGTTCTCAGCCCCACGTTCTCTGCCCCACGTTCTCAGCCCCACGTTCTCAGCCCCATGTTCTCAGCCCCACGTTCTCAGCCCCACGTTCTCAGCCCCACGTTCTCAGCCCCACGTTCTCAGCCCCACGTTCTCAGCCCCACGTTCTCAGCCCACGTTCTCAGCCCACGTTCTCAGGCCCCCGTTCTCAGCCCCACGTTCTCAGCCCCACGTTCTCAGCCCCACGTTCTCAGCCCCACGTTCTCAGCCCCACGTTCTCGGCCCCACGTTCTCAACCCCACGTTCTCAGCCCCACGTTCTCAGCCCCACCTTCTCGGCCCCACGTTCTCAACCCCACGTTCTCTGGCCCACGCTCTCGGCCCCACGTTCCCAGCCCCACGTTCTCCGCCCCACATTCTCGGCCCCACGTTCTCGGCCCCACGTTCTCGGCCCCACGTTCTCGGCCCCACGTTCTCGGCTCCATGTTCTCATCCCCACATTCTCGGCGCCACATTCTCAGCCCATAATTTCACTCGCTCTTGCTCTCTCTCACTCTATCGCCCTCTACCTCACTTGCTCTTCTGCCATGAGCCATCACCTACAGCCATCACCTACAGCCATCACCTACAGCCATCACCTACAGCCATCACCTTCTCAGATCCACCCATAGGAAAGGAGATGTCCCCACACAAATTCTTCTCTACTCTCTCGTACCTAGCTTGCTCTCCTATCATCATCTATCTGCAGCCATCTCGTTCCCAGCCCCACCCAGAGCAAAAAAATATACTCAATACTTCCTCTCCAGTCCCTCTTGCCCTCTGGCGCTTTTGCTATTCTTTCATGGGCCTTCACGTATCTGCAGCCATGAAGCTCTCAGATATTGACACTGCTGTGGGCAACATTAACGTCACAAACCCGAAACCCAGCAGCTGCTTTTGATGGGGCTCAAACGAGGGTCCATGTTTTCATTTTGACTGTTTGGAGGCAGTTGCTGTCGCTCTCTAGGCCCAGCCGTCCTTAACTCTCAGCCTTTTCTGATGTGTTGAGTCGTCTCCCCCCAAACCCCGGCCTCAGAGAGTGTTGCTCATTGTGTGTGCGAGCAAGCAATCAACTAGCTTCTCTCCAAGGAAGGAGGCCAAAAACCTGTTCAAACCCATACCTCCTTCCCCTCCCTCCTCCTTTTCACCCCCTTCCCCCTCGCTGCAGGCTGTACTTCGTGTGTGCGAGTAAGCAGTCAACAGGCTGCCCTGCCAGGAAGGTGGAGGACCGCGTTGCAGGGGAGGCCAGGCCCCGCCGCCCCTACCTAAGAGGCGGAGCCTCAAAAGCTGTTGCAGGAAGGGGCAGAGCTCGCAGGGGTGAGATAGGAGAGGGGGCGGGTTTGGTTGCAGTAGACAGTGCAGCGACTGCAGGCAGGGGTGAGAGTGGAGAGGCAGCAGTGGCGACTACTGGCGAGGAGGGGGTGGTAGGGAGCTCTGGCTTGGCAGCAGATGCCGCCGCTGCCGCCACCACAGCAGCAGCAGCAGCAGCAGCAGCAGGACGTGCGTTGGGACGTCCAGAGGAAGAGAACCCTGGGGTGCGGAGGACTGAGATGCGTGTGGTGGTGCGCGTGATGTACCGCGGTGCACATAACCATCCCCCACCACCTCTGAAAGCTTTGCAGGAGCGGGCTGTTATTTCTCCTGATACAAGTCCCCCTCATGCTTCTAAACCCCCTACAGCCACAACCTTCCGTACTGGCGCGACGTTCACTAGTGATATAATTCTTCCTGCTGCTACAGCATTCCCTCCAGCTACAGCTCCACATCCTGCTACAACCTTCCCTACTGCTCCCCTCCCTGCTTCCACCTTCCCTACTGCCACAACGTTTGATAGTGCAACAAGCTTTTCTGCTGCTGCAACCTGCATTCCTGCTACAACCTTTGGTACTGCCACGACGTTTTCTACTGCTACATCCTTCCCTATTGCTACAACCTTCCCTCCTGCTACCGCCTTCCTGCCTGCTACAACATGTATTCCTGCTGCAACATTTCCTCGTGCTACAACCTCCCAGTCACCTCCACGCTCTCACTCACCAGCATCCTGCACAGAAGCTGCAGGCCCCCCAATTTTTTCTCAGAGTGGATCCTTCCAGGTGCCTTCCTTCCCTGCACATATCGGCATGGGTACAGCTCCCTATTTCAACCCTCAGACTCCACCTCAACCTTCTCCTTCTCCTCCCCTTCCTCCTCCTCCTCAACCTTCTCCTTCTCCTCCCCTTCCACCTCCTCCTCCTCCCTCTCCTTCTCCTTCCCTTCCTCCTCCTCCTCCTCCTCCTCATCCTCCTCCTCCTCCTCCTCCTCCTCCTCCTCCTCCTCCTCCTCCTCCTCCTCCTCCTCCTCCTCCTCCTCCTCCTCCTCCTCCTTTTCCTTCTCCTCCCCTTCCTCCTCCTCATCCTTCTCCTCATCCTTGTCCTTCTCCTCCCCTTCCACCTTCCCCCCCTCCTTCCACAACCTTCCTTCCGCATCCTCCTCCCCTCCCCAAACCTTCATCCATCAATCCATCAATACCCACCACTACTTTCCCTCCGGCCGACAAGCCTCCTCAACATGTGCCGTTTCAAGCACACCCCTCCATGGCAGTTTCTTGTCAACCAGAGCTCACACATGGAACTCCTGCTTCTGCCCCTTCTACATCTGGGCTTACCTCCAGCCTCATTCCTACTTCTGCTCCTACTACACCTGGCTTCAACTCCAGCCTCATTCAAGATTTTTCTCCTGCTACAGCTGCCTTTGCCTCCAGTTTCTCTCCTGCTTCTGCTTCTACAGCTAAATTTAGCTCCAGCCTCGCTCTTGCTGACCTCCCTTCCTCGCCTCTGCCCCATTATCGCCCACCCAGCTATTATCCACCTCTGCTTCACCCACCAGAGGCATCAGCAGACGCGGAAGCAGCGGCAGCAGCACTGGCAGAAGCGGAAGTATCAGCAGGGGATCCAACAGCCAGTCTCATTATGCCAATGGTACGAAAAACCAGTCATATTGATTCGTGCCCAATTGCTGGCTCGAGTGCTGGTAACCCCGGAGGAAAAGCTACACTTGCTGCAGCAGTATCCGATTCATTTCCCAAGTGTGATGAAAGCAGGCTACGTTTTGACGAGCATGTCATTAGAATCAAGCTAGAGCAGTGGCAGCTAGAGCAGCAGGTGCAACAGTTGCAGCTAGAGATGAAGCAGGAACGGTGGAAAGGCAATTTCCAGCCACAGCAAAGGTGCAATGGTCGGCAGGACCAACTAAAGCAGCAGCTAATTGAGCAGATGAAACAGCAGCAGCAGCTACATTGCCAGGAGCAACAACAGATGTGGCAGCTGGAGCACCACCAGAAGCAGCAGCAGCAGCAGCAGCAGCATCAGAAGCAGCCGCAACAGACGCAAGATCAGCAACATCAACCGCAGCAGCAGCCTCAGCAGCACCAACAGTGGCAGAAACGACACCATCAGCAAGAGAAGCAGCAGCAGCAGCAACAACAGCAAGGTCAGCTGCAGCAGAAACAACAACAGCAACAACAAGAACAGCAGCAGCAGCAGCAGCAGCAGCAGCAGCAGCAATATCAACATCAACAGCAGCAGCACCCTCAGCAGCGACAACAGTGGCAGCAACAACACCATCAGCAAGAGAAGCAGCAGCAGCAGCAGCAACAGCAACAGCAACAGCAACTGCAGCAGCAGCAACAACAGCAGCAGCAACACCAACACCAACACCAACAACAGCAGCAGCAGCAACAGAAACATCAACAGCTGCACCAACAACAGTGGCAGCAACGAGACCGTCAGCATGAGAAGCAGCAGCAGCAGAAGCAGCAGCAGCAGCAGCAGCAGCAGCAGCAGCAGCAGCAGCAGCAGCAGCAGCAGCAGCAGCAGCAGCAGCAGCAACAACAACAACAACAACAACAACAACAACAACAACAACAACAACAACAACAACAACAACAACAACAACAACAGTGGCGGCAGCAACAGCAACAGCAGCACCAGCACCAGCAACAACAACATCAGCATCAGCAGCCTCAGAAGCAACAGCAGAAGTACCAGCAGCAAAAGCACCAGCTGCACCATCAGCAACAGCAGCAGCAGCATTGGCAGCAGCAGCAATATCAGCAGCAGAAGCTACAGCAGATACAGCAGCAACAGCAGCAACAACAGCAGGAGCAGCAGCAGAAACAGCAGCATCAGGAACAGCAACAACAGCTGCAGCAGCGGCAGCAATGGCAGCAGCTGCAGCAGCAGCAACAGCAGCAGGTCCTCTCAAATCTTCTCTGCACAGAGCAGCTCATTCCCCAAGCTGGCCTAAACGCCCCTGCTGATGCTGCTGTTGATGTTACACGTGTCTCTGCGACTGTCGTGCACCTTCCTACGGCTGTAGTACAAGTTCCTAAGGCCGTGGCAGAGGTCCCAATGGCTGTAGCACCAATTCATATGGCTGTAGCACATGTTCCTACAGTCATGGAAGACGTCCCAAGGGCTGTAGCACCAATTCATACGGCTGTAGCACATGTTCCAACAGCTGTGTCAGACGTCCCAAGGGCTGTAGCACAAGTTTTTATAGCTGTGGGACATGCTACGTTCACTACACTTGGCACTCGTGTGAACGAATCACCTGATGGTGTTTCTGTTTCAGCATGTGATGCAGAGGTGTTGCAGCAGGGGGGAGCATGGGAGCAGCAGGCAGTGAGTCAATGGGAGGGAGATGCTCGCCTAGATTCCCCCCAGGATTACCCACAGCATTCTGAGCAAGTCCTGCAGCTGCCGCAAGCTGCAGATGCTGTGCATGGTGGATGCAGCAGCAATAGCCGCAACAACGGCATGCGCTGCGATGAACAGCTTGCCCCCACACGCCTTAGTGACCTCAGGCTACCTGTACTCACCACAAGCAACTTCAACAGTGCCGGCAGTGCCTTGACCAACCCCAACGCAGCTACGTCAGACAGTAGAACCAGCAACGTGTCAACTTACTGTGGCAGCACGAGCAACAACCTTCCATACATTCCTATGACTGACCGAGACAGCAGCATCAGCAGCAGCGGTCCTAGTCTAAGCGGCACAAACAGCAGCTTCATGGAGCCATGGCAGCATCAAGGCATGGTGGACAACAGGGAGCAGCAGGACGCGCCAAGGTTGCAGCCCTCTGGGGCTGCATGTCTGGAAGAGCTTTATCTGCCCCCAACTGACATCACCACATGCCAGGCTATAATGAGCGGTTATGACGAATCAGATGTGGTTCCACTAGGTATGCACGGAAATGCGAATTGGTGTGATGACTTGGATGTGATTATGCTTGAATGTGCAAGGGAGGTGCTGCTTAGTAATGAGAGGATTTTGTGATGATCAAGTCTCGTCTCTGAATGCTGTTTGGTGATTGTTGAAGCTCTGTCAACATTTTATAATGACGCGGATGTAGACATGCCATATGGCGAATTTGTCAAGTATTTTATTGCAGCATCCTCCACTATATTTGACTACGAAACATGTTGGCTCTAAAAAACATGGCTATGGTTATTACATTGTTGTTCGAGAACAAAAAAATTGTGTTCAACGCTTGTCGTTGGTAATTACGTTCTAGACGATCTGAATCAGGGCCTCATATTGCAGGCTTCTCACCCTGATTCAGGGTAAAATCAGGGCTTTTGGGGGGGGTGACCCTGATGAGACAGGATTTTTTTAAGACACATGCGTGAAATTTTGGCTTTTTTTTAGGAGTGAACTCTGATCGATCAGTGTACTAGTGTAGTGAGCCCTGTTTGTCCAGATTCGTGTAATAGCAGATTCGCAGCCCCCACCCCTCCACCCGTGATTTCCGTGAGTTTTCCCAACCGCCCCTTGTCAATCCCGCCTACTTGAATGCGACCGTCCATTTCTGTTTCCGACGCGGTCGTACTTTCAGAGCCCAATCCTAGCCTTGGTCCCTCTGCGCCTGCTGCCATTGAGAACCCTGCTACCGCATAATACTAGGCATATATTACACAGCTGCTTTCTGTGTATAATCATGTTTACTCAGCGTGAGAATTTCTAGGGACCTTGATGGATTAGGGAATTTTTTTTGGAGAGGCCTGAAAAATCAGGAGACCAGGGTTGGGGGACCCTGAGCTATCAAGGTGCCTCTAAACGAATCTGAGGCCCTGATCTGAATGGTATGATCGCTTTCTAATCTAAATGTAAGGAAAATCCCTTTTCCTTACCGAGCCTCGCTAACATCGAGTACAACCCTGACTTTCGGAAGTCCAGGCTCGGCCCGACATTTTAGGTTCGAACTACGTTCGAGACCACCAAGCCTATACGCGGCGTCGCATCCGACACTTTCGAGTCCAGAGGCACCCCAAACCACCTCGCGTGTGTTTCGTGGCCCTCCTCGAGGCCCCCTTTCTAGGCTAGCTGTGCTTCTATTGAGCCCTGACCTTCATTTGTACTCTACACACTTTAATTACGATCTCACTATTGCATTACTCAGCTCCCATCCAGAGATTATCATAACAGCTGGTATCAGAGCTATGTTCCTGCCCATTTAGGCTTCCGTCGTGAGGTAGTTTTTAGAGGGACCTCGCACGTTAGGAGAAAGGAGCTGTCCAGCGGTCATGCCGGAACTTCTTCAGTTTCGCCGACCTTGTCGTGTGCGCTCCCGTGGTGTCTTTAGTGGCGTTAGCTAGCTAGGGTAATTAATTGTCAATACCCCGCCTCGCCGTAGTACTAGAAATATGACTCCCGAGCATATAGCTGGGCTGTCAGAGGCGGCAGCAAGCGCATCAGTGCCGACGACGAAGGTCGACGAAATGATGGCGAAGATGGCGGCCATGACACTGGAGCTCGTCGTGTTGAGAGAGGAGAAAGTTAGCCTTCGCCAGGCGCTTGGTGTGATGCGTCAGGAGTCGCATGTTCCCATAGACGAAGATCGTACGAGCGCGCATCAACCGCAGACACATCAGCGACACGTGACGACTGTTCGAGCGAGCGACAGGCAGTTGTGAAGATCAAACTTGCCATGCCCTCACCGTTCAACCCACTGGAAAAGCACACCACGTTGAGTGGGTGGCTATTTGTCATGGAAATGTTCTTTAATGCCGTTGATGTCAACGACGATGAGACACGCATCAAGTTGGCGGTAACTTTATTACGCGGATCTGCATAAAGTAGGTGGCGACAGTACGTGATGTCACGAGGGACTCCGGCAGACAGGCAACAATCGATGGACGGGGAGCAAAGATTGGCTTCAAATTCTACAGGATCCTTATTTGGTGTGGCCGAGATCCTTACGTGGCAACCGTATGGTGCACTGCTTCGCAAGCGCTTCGCGCATGTATCCGGATGCGAAAACGCTCGTGTGAAGCTGCACGGGTGGCGTCAAACGGGCTCTATTCTAGAATACACATCATACGTCCTCGCCATCTGCGACAAAATCGACGATCTACACGAGACAAAAATATGAGTCAATACATCCTAGGGTTGAAACCAAAGGACCGGCGCGAAATTCGTATGCGCCGACCGGCGACATTCTTGGAGGTGCAGCAGGTCGCAAAGGCATGGAACGAGAACAGTGTATGGCCAAGGACGAATTTCCGGGAGGGAAGTCGTTTTGAGGGCATAATATATACCCATCCATCAACGGTGTGGCGGCACCGTCAGATAACCAATTTTCTTGCAGGTGTTATAAATATGGCCAGTCGGGGCACATCATGCGGAAATGTCCGAAGTTGCAGAAATCGGGAGCTAAGGACGGAAGGAAGCCAGGAAATGGAAAGCATCAGTAGCAGTCGGGCCCCCTAGTGATAAGGCTTCATTGCCCGAAGATCACCATTCCCACCGAGTAGTAGTGCCGATCTATGCGATCGACCACACTCGGTTAAAGGGGAGTGAACCTGTTGACTACCCTATGCTGGTGGAAGGGCATGTTGGCAATACAAGATTAAAAGTATTAGTGCATGGTGGGGCATCACACAGTCTGCTCGATATGACAAGAGCGAAGAAGCTGCAGCTGCAAAGGGAGTGGTGCATGCCCAAAATCGACGTGCGGTTGGCTAACGGCACGCCACTTGCAATTCGGGAGCAAGTGAAACATGTTCCCATTGATTGCGGCAGCTAAATCAATTTCACCTCAAAGATGCTAGCGACAACATCGGACGACTGCGATGTGCTCCTGGGGCGCGATTGGCTTTGCACGTATATTTCCCGACGACCTCCCGCCCCACCTACCACCCGAACGACCACACGATCACAAGATTGAGCCAATGATCTGACCGTCCGATCGCAATGGAGGCTGAGTCAACCGGAGCTGATGGACATGCGTATGCAAATAGATTATCTGCTGGAGAAAAAAAGCATCCGCCCATCCATGTCACCCTACGCCGCGCCGATTCTCTTCACCCCTAAAAGGACGGAGGGCTTCGGATGTGTACCGACTATCGCGCGCTCAACAACATCACCATCAAGTCGCCTTTCCCGATTCCACACGCCGATGATCTAATCGACCAACTTCGCGGGGCCATGATTTTTTCCAACATTGATCTACGCGGAGGTTACCACCAAATTTGTGTTGTGAAGCTGATATTCCAAAAACTGCCTTTCGAACCTGTTACGGAAGTTACGAGTATACAGTGATGCCGTTTGGATTGAAGAACACGCCGTCAACTTTTCAATTGAAAATAAACAAAGTCTTCCGCTCACTACTGGACAAGTACGTCATCGTCTACCTAGATGACATCCTGGTGTACAGCACCTCTCGGGAGCAACATTTGAAGGACCTGGAAGTCGTTTTTACCCTCTGCAATTAACACCGGCTCATCACCAAAGGTTTCAAGTGCAAGTTCTTAAAGGAGGAGCTGGGATTCTTGGGCCACGTTATCTCCACTGAAGGTGTTCAAATTGACCCGAACGTCAAGGAGTTGCAGAGTTTTCTGGGGTTCATGAAGTACGTGCACTATTTTATCCCTAAAATGGCAGTGTGAACAGCCCCGCTAACCGACTTGCTGCAAAAGGGAGTTTTTTATGAGTGGGGGGAGAGGAGCAAGCTGCGTTTGACCAACTGAAGACTCTTCTCATGACCCCACACGTCCTTTGTATCGCCGACCCCGACCATCCGTACGAAGTGGTTACGGATGACAGCGACATCGCCGTTGGCGCGGTACTGTTACAAGACTTTGGCGACAGTCTGCAGCTAATCGCCTAGGGCTCGCACAAACTCCAAGGCATTAAACGGAAATACCCGGTTCACGACAAGGAAATGCCCGCGGCCGTCAACGCTTTCAAGACCTGGCGCTGCTACCTGTCAGGTGCCGACGTTACTGTCTAAACAGACCGCAAGTCCCTACGGATCCTCTGAGCCCAACCGACCCTCAATCCACATCAGATTCGTTGGCTCGAATATCTCGAGTCCAACTTCCACAACCGAATCACCTACAAGGAAGGGGTAAATAATATTGCCGACGCCCTTTCTCGCCCCACTGCCCATACAGCCGTCATACTAATCGCCCAAACTAACCCGTTGCTAACTGGACTATTTACCCATGGTTACAATACTGATCCCCTTTTGACCTGTAACGGCCACCAGGCCCTGACCACCCAACGAGGCCACTACCACCTAAAAGTTGGTACTAACCGTATTTGGGTTCCATCCTATCGATTGTTACTGGAATTACTGATACAGGAGGTTCATGATGCTAACTATTCTAGACACTTCGGGGTTGAGAAATTCTTGAAAATACTCCAACGTCATTATTACTGGCCGAATGCGAGCCATGACGAACAGCAATATGTGGCCTCATGTCCCACCTGGATTACTGCAACCGTTAGAACTGCCCACAAAACCCTGGACGCACGTGTCCATGGACTTCATGACAGGATTGCCAGCTGGCGCATCCCAAAATGATGCTGTACTCATGGTCGTTGATCGACTCACAAAAATGGCTCATTTCATGCCATGTCGAACGACAATCACAGCGAGCAAACTGCCAAGCTGTTCATCTCAACCGTCATTCGCCTGTTTGGAATCCCGAAGGCAATCGTAAACAATCGTGACCCCACATTTACGTCCAACTTCTGGACAAAAATATGGGAATAGTACGATACACGTCTCCATCTTTCACGGCTTATCACCCAGAGATCGACGGTCAAACTGAACAGACAAATCAAACCATGGAGCAGCTGATACGGACAACCTGTACCGACCGAATCCAATAGGGAGAGACCCACCCCTTGATCGAGTTCGCGTATAACAGTGCCCCTTCGTCCACGACTGCCCAATCACCGTTCTACCTGAACTACGGTCTAAACCCCACGACTCCCACTACACCCTTAGTAGAGAGTCTTGCCCCACGGTCGCAACATTTCGTCAAGGACTTCATCACCAAAAAGGGCTTGTCCCAAAGGTGAACTGAAGGTCTAAAGTTTGGCAAGGATCTCAAAAGTGTCATTTGGGACACAGTCGGGTCATAATCAGGCCAA